ACTTGCAAGATTTCCCCTAACACAATAAGGGCTCTAGCACTGAACTTCCCTGACACTCCGTAATCTTTCCCCGATAAGGGTATGACAGTTTACCCATGGAGGAGCGGGCGGCATCCAGGATTGCCTTGGCCTTGGCGCTGTCCATCACAATCTCCTCCAGCTTTTCCAAGCTGTCGTCTGTCAGATCCTTGCGATTCTTGACAAAGTGGGCCACCTGGGCGTACATGGTATTGTCGGTGACCAGCTTGACCAGCTCGGGAAAGTGATAGGAGTACCACTCTCTTGAAGAGAAACCAGAACATAAAACAATGTTTATTTAAACAGTAAATGTCAACAAATGCAAGAGGCAGTCCATATGTCTAAACTTTTGCGGGAGATACTCAGTGGCCAAAATTCGGACTCAGCAGTCCAAGATATGCACTCTTTGCACACTCTATGCACACAAAATAGGCATTAACTCACATCCCGCTTTTACTTATTTCAAGGGTTCCAAGTCATATTGAAGTGGAGGTCAATTTTCTTTAGGGGGGCTGGAATTTTTGGAAAGAGTAACCCGCTTTCTGTGTAATTCCAAATGTTTCTCTGAATCATATATTTAAAAATGTGATTTTCTTGGCTATTTCGATGATAGCATTATTCATGCCTGGTCAGAAATGTTGAAACAATGTCAGACGCAAAGCTGCCAGAATTATGTCACATTGTCACCTTACCACTGGAAAGCTATTTTCTGCTGAATTAAAAAAAACAAATGTTTCAATTTTTGAAAATTCCGACTTCCAGCTCATTTTGTGGTGACAGGTCACATTTTTCAAATAATGTCTATTCTCATGAGTATGCCGGACTGAGCGATACACCAGAGAGCACAGAGTGCCCTTTCCCATGCAAACCAAAACAGAGTAACTTTAATAAACAAAATGGCCGTAAGACGCATTTTGTGGGATGGGGTCACACTCCCAACGGCACCAGTGGCTACTGACTTGATTCTCATGGAGAAGGTGTTGACGTCTTTGTCCAGCTGGTCCAGCAAGCTGATGGACTGGATGATCATGTTGTCCACCCGATGGACATTGAACTTGACCTTGCACCGGGAGTAGCTGTGGCCCAGGCCCAGCTGGGCCTTGGACTCCGCCTGGGCGGTCAGCCCTTTGATCATCTTGTGGAAGTGGTAGCGCAGCCCTGGCACGTGGAGAACGGAACTGAATGTTAGAAAAAGGTTCTCACACAGACAGGTGTAAACCCCAGCCCTACTTCAGAATAAGACTACGCAGACAAGAGTGGCCTTCACGAGAGAACTGACCCTCTTCTTGAAGATAACGACAAGTACATGGTGCAACCACACACCAACACCAATATTATAAAAAAGGTTTCTGGGCAATCATTGGTTCTCATGTCAACTTCTATTGGATGAGAACTTGACAATGCTGTATGTAGTCCAGTTCTCACAGGTCCGGCAAAACCCCATCACGTGCCATCCAGCCTTGAGCCAAGGCACCAGCTAGACACACAACAGAGGATTTGCCAGTGGCTGTACTGGAACCCATGATCTTGGGAACACAGGAGCGCACCTTACCTCTGAGTATTTCCCCCACCACCCCTGCTGACTGGCAGGGTATGCCCAGGGCCTCCTGTATGGCTGCCCCTATTTTGCTGTCTCCCACCCCCAACGTGATCTTCTTCCTCTTCTTGGGGGATTCCGGGAGGTTCGTCTCAAGGAACAGGCGTAGGTCATCATGCATAATGCCTGGGGGAGAGACATTGAAATAACTTCAAACACTTTCATGACCTCATACTGCTGTTCTTGAGCTGATGCCAAAAAGCTCCAAAGTGACACGTTGTGTATTGGCATTTTTACGTGAAATTGCCCCATGTCTAATTGCACGTCAGTAACATTCCATTACAGACTAACACTCTTACCTTCTGATATGCTGTTGATGTTGTCCAGGGCATTGGCTCCTGACTTGAACGGGGCAAATGCGTGCAGTTTCACCAGGGAGGCAAACTTGCCAAACTCTGTCACACTCTTCTCCACCTGGCTGTGAAGCATGGAGATCTCCTCAAACTCCACCACTGAGAACAGTCCGTAGCCGGACGCGTGCTCAAAGAGGACGTACATCGCCTGTCAGGAAACAAAATGAATAAGATAACCATGCAACTTTTGGTCTTCTTGCAAAAGCGCTCCTACTCTGTAACTGTTTGGAAGGCAACAACTCTCCGAAGTGGCTGCTTTAAACTCCTCATTGGCCCTAACTTCCCTAAATGCCCTAAAAATCTAATATTCTATGGGCAATTTTGGAGGATTTTAGAGGACTGAGCCTGACTGTGGATTCTTTGTGTCAAGGTCTTGGGTTATACCTTGTGTTGTTTATGCTCTGCTGTGCATAGGTTCAGGCCTAGATGATCCATGTACATGAAATCATTCACACACATTGCCTTTGGACAACATTTGCACTGCCTACGCGTAATGAAATGAATTGCCACAGGATTTTGAAGTATTGAGACAGTGGTCATCAGTCATGCAATTTTTACTTGGACAAAAAACAAGGAAATTCAGATATTTACAAGACTTTTTTCAGTGGCACGAGTGTGAAGTGAAAAAGGAGGAAATCTACTAATCTGAAAAAAAGTTGCATGCCTGGGTAGTCCCTCCAAGGAACAGCGTTCAAGAAATAATAGATGATTTTTGAGGATTGAGGCTGTATCCAAGTTTTCCACAGGGGAAGCTATAGGATTTTGGACTGACGATACATCCAAGGCTAAAGAGCGCAGGTGAGTAGGGTTACTCCATTCTCTAAACATGGTGAAAATTCAGACAACAAGCTTTCACACTCCATCATGAGCTCATTTATGAGGCAACTCTGTGAAGCAATGGATCCTTTGGGGCTCTCAAATGCATGTGGGGGATTCAAATCCAGCAGCTACTTTGCAACCTTGGGCATTTATCATTTTACCTGTGCTTGTCTCTATCAACTGGTGAAAATGAGCAACTGCAAGAGCATAGATACATGTAGATGTGCCCAAATATCGGTGGCAGAAAATGGTCTAGTGGCCTGGCCACAGCACCTTAACCCCTTCTCGGCAGGAAATTTCTTTCCGAAAGCCGACTCCAAGAATTCCAGCCTCGCTTGGCCACGAAGGCCACCTGCCAAACCGCAAATTCTCGGTTTGTGGCCCAGCGTGCTCTGCACGCTTTGAATTACACGGTGAAAAGGCTGATTGTTCAGTGGCATGCGGCTCTACTCAAGCTTCCACATTCCCGTTGCCTCTTTTCAAAGTGGGGACTATTGTGAAGCTGGTGATTATTATGCAAAATCGGTCTTTTCATTTCTGGGCTACACACAAAGACCAATTACCGTATACACAAGAGCCAGGGTCTGCCTTCTGTCACCATGTTCGCTTGAGCGTGGGCCGAGAATAATAGCTGAAAAGCGGGCTGAGGATCTCAATTTTTAAGCAGCAGAATGAATGAATATTTGGAACTTGTAAGTACACTTTTAAAACTAATTATTACATGTAACATGCAATGCATTAGTAAGCCGGGTGATCTACTTTGACCTTGAACAAATTAGGTGACATTATTATTGTGTTGTGAGTTACGCTGCCTCCGTGACATCACAGTAGCAATGCCTCCAAAAATTCATGGTACATGTATACTGCAAGGTTGCAACTGAGTCATGACTGCTGGCGAGAAATGGAAACAAGTCCAAAACGTCTCCGTCCAACTGGCAGGACGTTTTCCAACAATATCGGAGATTTCCTACCATCTCTACAGACGTGCACTTGAACACCTGTTCAAAAGCTCCTTCACAAAATGAACTGAATCCTGGGTTTCATTCATAACAGCTCAGTCTCTTCCCGTCCATGTCTACCTTGTGTGCTGAGGATGTCAGTTTATTTCCCCCAGATTCAAAATTCAAAGTATTCCAATTTGTTCAATTTTAAGAAATTCAAGCTCTTCCAAGATACATAGTATCTGATACAGGACAAGCGAAAAATTTTAACCATCTGTCAGGTACAATGTAGTCTTCTAAACTGAGTCACTCCCCAATATTCTGATGATCTGGCACTGAGTCTCCCAGCACCGTAAATTTACTCTGAAAGATTAGACAATGCCACAGAAAAACTGGCCAGGTGAATGTTTTATTCCAAATGGTTTTGGACAATAAAACTGCTGATGTATAACCCCTTACCTCAATAAAAACTCACACAAACCAAACATAAAACTTGCCACTAATAATTACACAAAGAAGATAATGTAAAGTTCTATTTCACTTGTCATTTCAAAAAATTTGAAGCACTCTTTACAAAGTTTTCCAAATGGATATAATCCAAGATTTGAAAAAGGACAGTTCAACTGAAGACAATTCTTCTACGCAAAGAATGCAAGAAAAAAAAATAAAATAAAAAAATCAACATAGCACAAGTAAAACAAATGCATTAATATAAGAAGTGCATAAGTGTTAACTGTTATGATTCTACTGTTTTCATATCTGGTCAGAGATTAACCCCTTGACGATGGGAACTTTTTTCTGAAAGCCGACTCCGAGAATTCCAGCCTCCCTTGGCCATGAAGGCCACCTGCTAAACCGCAAATTCTCGGTTTGTGGCCCTGCGTGCTCTGCACACTTGGAATTACACAGTGAAAAGGCTCATTGTTCGGTGGCATGCGGCTCTACTCACGCTTCCACATTCCCGTTGCCTCTTTTCAAAGTGGGGACTACTGTGAAGCTGATGATTATGATGCAAATTTGGCCTTTTCATTTCTTGGCAACACACAAAGGCCAATCACCATATATAACAAGAGCCAGGGTATGCCTTCTTTCACCATGTTTGCACGAGCATGGGCCGAGAATAATAGCTGAAAAGCGGGCTGAGGGAGTCAATTTTTACGGTGGCTCTTACTGTCATCTGTCGCAAAGGGGTTAAAGAACCATACTATATACAACTTGGCAAATAAAAATGACCTGCCAAGATGGTCTTACTGAGGCTGCACTAGCTCACAAAATATATACACTGGAACATTTAGACTTTCATATCAGGCGAGGACATTATCAGAAACACATATCTGAAATATTTACAGGAATTCCATCGTCCATATCAGTAAAAAGAGATTGTTAAACCATTCTGACATGCTACATAAAGACAAGTCAAGAAATCCCAGTTCAAGTTGATGGCAGCCGTGGCAGGCTAAACTGAAACCCAATAGAGGTTCAAATGTGAAAGTGAGATTCAGAGTTTCAACTTTATTCCTTCTTCCCTTGGTAAGTTCACGGGAAAAAGAAAACACTGCCATTTTACAGGTTTTTCCAAGTTTTGCAGCAGGAGAAATCTTGAAAAATGTCCCAGGAATTCAAGAGAATTCCAAAGAAATGGTGAAAATCATCCTGCCAAGCTATGCAAGATTTGACGCAAGGCTGTGTAGTCCATGAGAGCTCACACGCTACAAAGATTTGTCTGAGTAGTCGGTATCATAACCCAGAACACCGCAGTGTCTCACAGAGTTTGCAAATAGCAGAATCACTGAAAGTGACGGCCGAATCGTGCATCTCTTTAAAGTCTTCTTAAATTACTGCAGGTTCGCATTCAGAAATGGAAGCAGCTGGACATCCTTGGCATCCAGGAGAGACCTCTTGGCAGCAATAGCAATGCCTGCTGTGCTAAATAGGTGCTCTGATGGGACGCTGGTGGAGGGGATGCAGAGATACTTCATAGCGACCGCCGAGAGTAGTGGGTACCTGGGACCGTTCTGCTGCCACCACTTGAGCGGGTCCGCCTCCAGACCCAGGCGGGGCTCTGTCAGGTACCTCCGGATTTCATCCTTGGCTCCCCCAATGGGCTCCGACTCCTTGACCTCCACGCCCTCCTCGTCAAACATGTCCCCCAGCAGGGAGGCCCAAGCGTGCATGGGCTTCTTCTCTGGGGGCTCCTCATGGGCAGCATCTTCCATAACCTTGTTGTCCGTCAGAAGCATTATCTCTTTGGCGATCTCCTCTTGGATGGCCACCCTCTGCTCCTCACTGAAGAAAGGAAGCTTCTTGTAGCGAGCGTCCAGGAATGTAGCTCTCGGTAGGATGATCGAGAGGCTAGGATCCTCATAAACAGAGGCCAACTCTTTTGCCATGGCCTGCTTCATTTCGATGATCTCTGGTAGATCATCGTCTTTGCTCTTAAGAACTGCCTTCAGGTAGTAAACAGATGGTAGCAGGCCTGATGCCGTGGCGTAGCTCCTGCCGAGGATCGTCTCTGCCAGGGTCTGCAGAGGAGCCAGGACCTTCTCTATCTCTTCCACAATCTTTATGTCAGCCTCAGACAACACCAGCTCTGTCTTCTCCGCTGCCACCAGGACTGTTTTCAGCAACTCCCTCTTGTCCAGGATGCCGCGCAGCATGCTGTGTGTCGTGCCCAATGGGACACTCATGTCTTGCATCGTAATTGTCAGGGGCTCTTCTGCCTGGACCACTGGCCGCGCTTCAACTTGCTGGATCGTGGTCAGTGCCGAGATGTCCGCTTGGTCCTCCACGTTGATCTGGGCGGCTGTTACTAGCCGCTCCAGCACGTCCAGCTGCCCTTGGACATCAAGCTGCTGGTGGGTCTCGTAGTGCTGAGAAATGTCTACATCTTCTGTGCCCACCTGGGTCGCACTCGGAACATCCACATCCTGAGAGACCACCTGACTCTCGCTTGGCTGTTGGGCAAGCGACGTGTCAACAGTGATGGGAGCGCTGTGAAGGAACTCAATGAGCTTTATGCAGCAGCCCAGGGGCCCTTGGACACCGGGGCACTGAAGCCCTGCTTTGACGATGGTGTTCAGGGTGTGACCCAGGCAGGGGACATGCTTCCCTGTGAAGCTGTTCTTGACGGCATTGTTGGTGACCAGAGCACTGATTTTCATGGGGTCCTCACTGATGGTCCAATCTGCAGCGACCTTATTCAGACAGTCGGCAATGTGGCTGGCATCATGGGGCAATGGGAACTGGACATTCTCCAACATGAAGCTCTTCAGCTCCCAGTCCGAGGTCAGGAGGTGTGCAGTGACCGTCATGTACTGGTCGACGCTGGAGCGCCCCCACATGTCAATCGAGAGTGCTACATGCTTTGCATTTTTCAATGCTGGCAGGACAGTCAGATTTTTGACTTGGTCATACAGGCGCGGCATAATCCTCTGAGTGAAGTCCTCCCGGGACGGGAGAACAAAGCGGGGGTCAAACTCATGCAACATCTTGCGGAAGCTGGGCTCCTCCAGTGACGACAGGGGCTTGAGGTCTTTGGCAATATAGTTCGCAATACATGTCGAAAGTCTCTTTTTCCTGTTGTTCATCATTGAACTTCCACTTCGCTTGGGTGCCTATAAACAAATCAAAAGGAATATTTTTAAATTAAACTGACTCAAAAGCAAATATCAAACATGTTCATACTTGTGTTTACTTTGATTGAATAAGAATAATAGACATTCTAAATGAGGGCAAACTTTTTTGCCATTTTATTCTGGGACCCTCCAAAATCCCCACTGTGCAAGAAAAAAACAATGATTTCTTTGTATTTTGAAGGGTTATCAAGCTCCCCCTAAAGTAACAGTGACTGGTTTTTATCTCTCACAACCCAGCAGACTACATGAAAACCTCCTGTTAGGTTTTGTGGGATCTGGGAGGGTTGGGGCTAATAATACAACAGCTCACATTACTACTTGGCTAAATGCATGTGCACCTCAGAGTTTCTATATGCATACAAAATACACATAGATGTGGTTCCTCGAGTTATGTCAACATTTATTTGAATTGTAAAGCACTTCTTCTACTGTTAAGAAACAAAAAGAAAATTGCGACAGATGCATTTTCTGAGCCTGTTCACCTCGGCCGACGTCGATGCTGCAACTGTTCGGGGGATCTGACTGATGTACACCTTGGGGTGCTTGTGGTCCAGGTGGTTGCGCATGATGGTGGTGCTGGAGTTGGCGTACATGAGCTGCTTGCCGCACAGAGCGCAGACAACCTTGTCGGGGCTCTCGGCCTCGGCCGGATCGTCTGGGTCGGGCAGGAAGCCAAAGAAACGCCAGATGGGGCTGGAGCAAGCCCCTTTCTTATGCAGGAGACCCTTTTTCTGCAGGAGGTCATCTGAGTAAATGTCTTCTTCGCACTGAGGGGGGAAAAAATGGTCGTCTTCACTTATGAAATCGCAAAAATCAAAATCTCACTTAAAAACACTTCTGAGAAAAACTTTTTAATAAAAAAAATATCCAAAAAGAAGTGGCTTGGCTTAATCATTCGTTTGGCAGTTAACAAGAGGATATCTGTCAGTTTTTAATTGTTTCACACGTAACAACAGAGCTTTATTTTCAAGGTCTTTTTTCCTGGCAAGAACCTTTCTGAATCCTCCAAATCATTCATAAAAGATGAAATTAATGCCATATTCTTCACACATCAACTTTTGTTGTATTCTACCTTAACAGCCCAGGTTCGAATTCCTCCCAGATGTAACAGGTGGATTGGGTTTTCAATCCCTGATTCCGTGAATTAGCTCCGGAACATTTAGTTGAGGTTTCCTCCCATCTCTAATCAGAATATTTCTTCATGGTCTGCTCCCCAATAGTTCATTGACAACTGATGGAGCTATTTTGGTTATGTAAAATATTGATAGTTCTGTATTTTCGTTAAATGTGATGCACAAGAACAGAGCAAATTGCATATCTTTGCCGATGCAATAACTGACGTTCAAGTCATCGGCCAAACTCACCAGTGAGCTCAGGTTCACCTCTTCGGTCTCAAGCTGCTGCTCCTGGTGCCGGACCTTAGGGTCGGCCGCGTTGATGTTCAGCATGTCCTGCGACACCTCCACCACCTCCCACTGGTTGTGCTCGGCAAACTCGCTCTTGTGCACCATGCGGATGTGGTTACGCATGGGGGAGGTACCGCCGTGGTAGGTGATCTTCTTCTCACACAGGGCGCAGGTGACAAACTCCTTGATGGGCTGCTGGGTGGCCGGGTCCTGGGGGAAGAAGAAGTAGTTCCAGACCCAGCTGGAGCTGCGCTTGGGCACCACGTTGGCCTTCTTCAGGCCCTCGCCAAACTGAATCCTGCTGGCTGACTGAAGGACAAGGCAAAAAATACACAGATCATCCCATTACAGTATTCGGTAGATGCTGAAATCAGGAAAATAAACTGAAACTCTGCTAAATGGACCAAACTGCAAGAGTAGCCATGTCCTCTGTGTTGAACGATGGGCCCGTTTGTTTCATGCGGATAAGAATCTCGATCAGTGATCCATTATTGATTCGACATCTAAACCAGTCAAATCGATCGAACGGATCAAGATTCAGATTTGAGTGAAACAAACAGGTTCTATGCACTGCCCGAAGTCAAGGTTACAATTTATCCATGCAAAAAAGCCTGATTTTACTTTCATTTTGCACACAGCAGGAGAAAAATCCCGACATTAGACTTTAATTTTTGTTGGAACTATGAAGGAAAAAAGGAAAAGGTTAAATAAGGGAGCATTTTTTTAAAAGAACTCTGACTCACCGAAAGTGAGGATGACCGACGACCACTCGGTCTGCCAACCTTTCCCTTGGCTAGTGTCTTATCTGGGGTGGTACTCGCGAGCGTTTCAAACACGTTCGGGTGACGCCCCTTCAGGTGCTTGTGCATAACGGTCGTGCTCTTGTTGTACGATAGGCTCTTGTTGCACAGCGCACAGACGATTTCATCCTCATTGGCCGGCTCACTGGGGTCATTGGGGTTGGTCGGGAACCCAAAGTATTTCCAAATGGGGCTGGAAAAGTTCTTTCGAACGAGGAGGTTTTTCGGCACGGTAACTTTCTGGGCAATCTTGCCGCGAGGCTGTGGGAAAAAAGAATAAAGATGAGTTCTCTTAATTTCGGCAAGCACATTGCCAGTGGCACGGTAGAACTTCTCTCTATTCTGATATTCCCAGCCTTGCAACACAACTTTCATGTGCCTTCGACACCTCCTCATATTTCGAAAACACTTTTCCTTTGCCAAACCCTTGAATTTCAAGGAATTTGTCATCACCTCTGATTTATTAGATACAAATTGCCGAGGGATTCCACTCTTTTCAAACTGATTCAAAAAGTAATTGTGAAATTTATAATTCCAATGCAAGGCTAGGCCTACCACTCAAAAATCTACTTTTAGTAAGTTTACAATTACAAATCCTTTCAGGGGCATATTGGTATGAATGTGATTTATTCCCTTCATGTAATAGTCTAGATGCTATACAAAGCAATTCATCAGACAAACTTATTAATACTGAAATTTTGGTCACTGAAACCATTTTTACTATGTAGGCCTAACATGCACTGAGCTGAGGGATCAACTGATGATCAGATCGGACATCAGATCGGGCTGATGTTCGGCAACATCAGCAAAACATTGGATAGGCAAAATTTGACGTTTCTTGCCGATATGAGTACCAGTGTTAAATTGAAGAAAAAAATCTACTCAGTTTTGGCAAACACAAATCTGTATTCTTATTTGAGTATTCAAAAATTGTGGTTTTTCATTTAAAGAGATAACTAAACAGTTATACCATTTTTAAACCCATGTAAAGTATCCCCAAAATTACATCTGCATGATCCATGCTGCAACAACTCAACACACAGACTGCAGACCCAAAAAGCAGTCAGTGTACATGTTTACCATATCCATTGACCACCATGAAAAGAGCCAAGGAACAACACCCTGTGTGGCACCACAAGGTGCTGTGTGACCAGTCTGAAGGTAGTCCGAGATATAGCCTTTACTCAGGCATGTGTGGCTACCTGGACACACGACGCTCACCTCTGCCATTGGCAAGACGAAGACACCAACATGAGTGGCAAAGCCACGAGCTGAGCACGGTGCACCAGTGCCATGCGCATCTTGACTAAAGGCCACCTGTGATTTGGTCTGAGGTGATGTCTATTCCGCATGTACCGAGTGCGTTGCGTGTAAATACGACGGAGCACTACTGGTATCGTGCGAGCGGCAATGTGATGTACACAATTTATTCTCTCAACTCAGTGACAATAAAGGCAAAAAGCTAATCCTATTACAGGTAACATGCAAACTGACATTTCAAATTTTAAGACAGTATGCTGATTTTGTGTTGTTAGGAGCAGGCCTACATCCTGTTGTGGTTGCTTTTACAGTTACTGTCAGTAAAACCATCGGATTGGACATCGGCCAATGTTCCGAATAAAACATCGGACAAGAAGGTTTAACTCTTGTAACTCTTGGAAGCTGATGGAACATTCCCATTGAGAATGAGTTTACAGTAATACCTTTTAAATTCAATATCACACATTTTATTTATGTAATAAAATTCATCCCCAACTTATGCCCAAACTTTCATCAATCCAGTCAATTTCAAAACTCCATCACCATAAGCCTGATCGCAAATAATGCATGGTTGATTTTGCACAATGGTAGAAAGGCATTCTGGGAAGGAAAACGGAGCACAATGCCTTTACCATTTACAAAATCACCCATGCAGTATTTGCTGTAAGGTTTAAGATTACAGCTTTATTCACACCCAAATATTATGAAAACTCTTCACACTTCCATCACAGTATTTCAAAGAAAACATAAAACTGCAGGCCCCCATCAATATACCAGTGACTCTCAACACTAACATAACCAACCGAGGGCCAAATCTAGAAGTAGTGGTCACTGAATAGCGCCCTCTACAGTTCCTTTAATTTGTTCAAGGAGCTTCGACAACTGGCCGAGAAGGTGCTGCCAAGCCTTAAGCCTACACGACAGTATTTTACTATATTAGTACTATAATTCAAGCGCACAGCGACTGGATTTCAAAAGTGCCTTTGCGATCAACGATGTGATACTTTGTGCAAATAGTACTGAATTTCTTTTCACGCCACCACTGTGTCGGAAATATATGATTCATTCATAGGGATGTGCATTATGTGGTTACTCGTAAAATCGCCAAGAAAATATTGGCGACCATACGTCAATTACAATCAAATTGCAATCGAAGTTTACCACTTGAAACACTCGCATGATAACCGGAATAGGAAATAATTATCTAAACTTACCATACTGAAACGTATTACTCATAAGCCCATGGAACAACGGTAGATCGGAGTTTTTTCAACGTGCTTTCTCTCGGCATAATCGCAATCGAACACGATTCCAACGCCACGCCGCGTGCATTTGCTGGTGACAACTGGTTTCCAGCTGCTTTATCCAATACTTCGCGTTGACCTGTCGTGTACCAGTTAAATAAAGCCTCCGCTCAGCTCATCAGGTTATCGATTTTGAAATAATAATTTGTGAAGAAGCCCTGAAGATTCTGAATAAATTTAGGCTTTAAAAATATGACAAAGAAATTTAATCAAGGGTGGAATAGAATTGCTATTCTGTAAAAGAAAGTTCGGTGTTGATGCACAAAATAAAAATAGTCTGGTCCCAATCTTAGAAAAAAGTCGTCCTTCAAGAAACGTGTGAAGAAGGGAACCGAACACCACTGTTGCTCGGCAAAGCACGCACGCACGAGTTTAGTGCTTTTATTTCCAACGGCTTTTTTTTTTGCTTTCTGTTTCCCGAATCGGTAAGTGCTGGCTGCCTGTGCTTTGTTCAGAAAATATTCAACACAGCTTATACAGCGACAGAACCAGGTAATAATGTCTTATCCCAGAACTGTGGGGTCCGACGTCCGGCCTGCTCCCACGAACGGGCGGACTTCGGACCTTACCCCATTAGTACTGTGGCCCGAGATCCGACGTCCGCCCCGCTGTCGGACCCTAGCCCCACTAGTGTGGCACGGAGTCTCACTCCCGCTCCATCCTCAGCCACACATCCGTATATGCAATTTCGTGTTGGCGTACTGAAATTTTCGGCGCACCCACTTACCATCGTGAGCGCAATTTAATTTCTTTTGTACATAGAGATGATCCTTAGCCTCTCCGCTTTCTTAGGGCCATTTAATGATTTATTGAATGATTTTACTCACATTTTGCCTTCACCCATTCAATCTCACGGACTCGTTCTCACTGTCGCCATCTTTAAAATAAGACCGTTGAACATTACGTCACTTGACCCCTCATCGTCTTGACGGCTGTTCCATGTCAAGACATATCTAATACACGGACTGAGCGATAAGATACTACATGTGCCAATGGGCTCTTCCAAAACTTTAGCAGGAGTTTAGATTATCATCATATCCCTCATCACAGCAGTCAGTAATGATTGTTGAATATTAGTAGTGTATGTCTGCTGCAGATCCTCAGGTTGAGCAATGGAGCTAAATCCAGTTCTTGGGCCAGGCGACTGCCCCCAGTCTGGCCTGTGGTATGTCATCTCGTCCATGGGGCTATACCCCTCTGTCAGGGTGGGCCACACCTGCAGCTACCTGCCGGGCAAGACGGCAGCTGACAAAGGCAGACTGGTTGTGATTGGAGGTGCTGACCCAAGCGGGGCATACGCAGAGACATATCTGCTGGACCTGGGTAAGTGGAGCTAACATTCCGACAATCTTACCGTTATGATTCCTCTCTGATCCACTAAGCACCATTTCATGATCTTTTGACCAATCACAACTGTGAGTTAGGTCCACCACATGTTCACCAACATCTTACATACATACAGGCATGATTGGCACAATTAATACGCGTGGCTCCAACATGCATATGTCATTGAAGAGCACGTGTGTCATTGGAGAGCACACGCAAATTACCTACGTGCACAGTGGATGGAGCTAACTGTATCAGACTATTGTAACAGCAGAGAACTGGCTCCCCTTCAGCTACCAAAAAATTGCAAGAGTTACACATCTTACACTTTCTTCCCTAAAAATGACTTTAAAAAAAGCATTGATGTATGAAAACAAGATTGTCCAAGGTGCAAAGGTTAATTTTGGACTGAAAGAAAGTTTTTAAAGATGAATGAACAAACAATCAGAAGATTGCCAATATTTGTATTTGTATGCAAAGAGGGTAGGGTAAGGTTGCCAGCTGGAGCAGATATCCTGCCAAAAGTACTGGAACCCTGGATCCATTTCTAGGCTTAATTAGCTATTTATTGCTGAAAACTTTGCAAACTGTGATTGGGCCAGCGTAGCTGATTTTGAGCCTATTTACTGGCCTGGAACCCTTGATTTTTATTTACTCTTAATGAGTGACGGAAAGCCAATTCAAGTTTTCATCAAGACTCTTTTTTTTAGCAGACTCGTACCAGTGGACAACGCCAGACTACAGTGGCCTGAGACCTCGCTATGAACATGCCGTTTTCCAGCCGGTCAGTCAACCAAACAAGATATTTGTGTTTGGTGGTGCTGACCAAGGTAGAAACATGAATGACCTTCAGGTGCTGGACGTAGGTAAATCCAGCATTACGTCTTTGGGCCAAACTTGTCTTTGCCAAGTGCAATAACTTCCTTTATAAACTTAAGCTATCTGCACCTTAATAATAGCTGTACTTTTCTCTAGGGATGACTTCACAGAGCCAATTTACTGTGACTAATCCCAAAGTTGCGAGGGAGGAGAATGGCTGTGGTTTCACTGGAGTTAGTCACAGCCAAGAATATTCAGAAAGTTCTTCAGTACATTCAGGAATAACTCTGATGAATGTTATAACTAGGTGTGTCCTGTTTGACTACATAATAGCAATCAGAAATTGTGGATTTTGCCCACAAGAAATGTAATGAGAATTTAAATGTTTATGTGTTTAATCAACCCATCCCAAAGCTCCTAAATCATTCTGATTCCGCTAAATCCACTTGGAATTTCTAGAGGATTATGTTGGCTTGTTCCCTCATGAGAGTTCATGTTAACAAATTGTGCTGTTGGTTCTTGCGAAATGGAGGATTTGGGAAAATTTTTAGCCAAAGTTCATGGTGAACGATATTTAATTTTAAACATGGGCTTATTGTTGAGTCAGCAGTCATGGATATTTGTTCTGAAAAAGGGCTTTTTATGCATTGTCAATTGAGCACAAAATGTTTCTGATTTCATTGAGAGCCTTGGAGCTATGAGGAGAGATCTTTGGAAGGTGCGGGTTATACTTCCTTCCTGTGGTAGGACAAATGGAATCATTTTAATAAATGTTTTATAGTAATACCAATACCATTCCTATTTTTACAGAAATTAAGGTGGGTATCAAAAATTTTTCTCAGATACTTACAAATATCCCTGAGAGGAAACCATAATTGGTGCAGTTCCTGAAATAATCCTTTTCTGTCATCGTGGGTTTCATGTCTCATTTCTGTTCAGATGCTGGAAAGTGGAACACTGTGACTGTCACTGGTACCCCACCTTCCCCAAGGACATGTCGAAACTGTGCCTCACTGGGTGACAAACTGTACGTGTTTGGTGGTGGGCACCAGGGCGCGGAGCCTGTGAGTGACAGACAGCTGTATGTCTTTGATGCAGGTGTGAATGCCTTGATTAAATTCAGTCATAAATTTAAAATCAAATTTATTTGGCTGCTCCTGAGGCATTTTACTTGAAGCCCTTTCTTTTCAATTTACAGAGAGCGTGACATGGACATGTCCAGAGGTCAAAGGTAAAAAGCCATCTTGCCGCCATGGTCATGTGATGGTTGCCGTGGGAACTAAGATATACTTGCATGGAGGAATGGCCCGGGAGATCTTTTTGAATGACCTACATGAGTTTGACACAAGTTAGTATGCGGGAGATCATGTGTTCTAGAATGTGCTTATGTGCTTGATTTGTCAACTGTAAAAAACATCTCCTTACACTTTTCCTAGAAGTTATGTAATGGTTCCGTGCATGAGCACATTCTCTGCCCCTCATGACACACTGCATATATGTGCAATGTCGTTTGTGCACACGTGGAAGGAAGTAGATGCAAGTAATTTAGTGAATCCAAAGCGGCTCAAGACAAGAGGCACTAGTGGGAAATTTGAGCCATTTCTTCACCACTGGTTGGTATTGCCTGATACCCAGGATAAATTTTGTGTGCAGGTTACCAGGGAAAATCAACCAGTGGTCAACAAAATTGGTTGTTGCTCAAACTTTCCCAGGGCCATTCAAATTTTGCCTGGCCTCTCTCTTTGTCACTTTCAAGGGAAAAGTTGTGCAAGGAATAAATAGGACATTCCGTGCAGTTTTCTTTGAGCAGATTTCAACTTTTCGTGTCACGAAGTTTCATTGAAAAGAAATAAAAGGTATAGCTTTGAAATTTCCTGGAGAAATTTACTCCCCTTCGAGAAATAGGGAAATGCTCAGGAAATCTCAATTCTGGGCACATTATTTGGTAAAAATCTGTTGCATTCTGCATTCAAATAATGTAAAACGAGGAATGTTTTGGAGTATCACCTGCAAATGAATGGAAGGGGGTCAGTATATATTTTGTACACAGACCCCTCAGAGTTTTGCCTACACTGACATTTGTGGTCTGTGGCTTCCTGAACCACAGTAACAGCATTTTGAAAATGTTTACATGAGATTCAAAACAGATTCAGCAGTTTACCTGGTGAGCTTGAAGTTTATGCATGTTGAAGCTTGGCCGTAGTTGTTGCTGCAGAGATAAGTAATAAAAAATCCTCACATTGGTCAATATGAGGTCAACAGTCACAGAATTTGGGTGGTAGTCAGTCTACAGCTGGTTTAAAACAAACCAAGATATCTCAGAACCCATTTGCTTTTCCCCATCATCAACCCATTTCTTTTCTTGTTTTTTTCGTAGAAACTTTGACCTGGAAACAAGTGCGCTGCAAAGGTGATATACCCGTTGGCTGCACTGCCCATGGAGCTGTTGCCGTGGGCGACAAGATGTTCATATTTGGTGGTATGACACCAAATGGAGCGTTAGACACGACTTATGTTTTTAATACATGTAAGGGTCACTTGGTGTAGAAATAAGAAATATAACAACAGCCGTTTGTATGAAAACTTTTATATTATAGCACCAAAGATTTAAGGTACTTCATTTCCCTGTGGAAACATTTCCCTGTCTGCAACATTCATTCTTGAAATCTCATCTCTGTTGGGTACATGCAGGGAACAAAAAGAGTAACTGCCTAGTTGCAACTGTTTGGCAAGATCAACCATGTGCAAAATCTAGTGATTCCCTTCGGCAATTGCCGGAAAATATCTTGCTTAGGGACACAAGTACTGAAATACTCTGGTTGGTATTAGTTCCTCATTTGTTATCAAGTCTGAACAAGTTTTGGACATCCTGCTTTTCCGTGCATATGATGTAATCACCTTCATATGGTAAGGGGAAGTTGAATCAACATCTTACATGTTGGAGGAGCGCTGCCAAGATTGAATGTGCCCTGTCTGCAGTAATGAGGGATTGTCATAGTAAGAAGGGATTCTAAAGCCATGCTTTTTACTCCCCCTGCAAATGGTGCTCTTTTGCGATGCATCTTCACTGGAACAGCTCACTGAATTTGCTTCTTATCTTCTTGCAGCCAATTTAAGATGGCAACGAGTGAAGATAGACGGTGCACCTCCTGCCTGCAGGCTAGATTTTGCAGTCTGCTCAGCCAGACTTTATTATGATGTTGTTGACAGAGACGATACCAGCTCTGCCTCGTTGGAAGCGGCACAAAAGCTGGCCACTGTTCTGGGTGGGGATCTGAAATGCGGCATGGAGGACAACGACAGACTCAAAAGTGAAACGGGCGATGGAGTAGTGCCAGAGTCCAGCAAGTCTCTGGAGGGCGCCGTGACCCAACCGCTTGGTGCCTCGGGAGACACGGACAACCCTGAAGGAGAGTGTGAGCTAGATAGGGTCTCGCCAGCAGAGGGCGCCTGTGGCTCAACTGCAGGTGGTGAGGTTGGCACCGCTTCACCAGACGAGGGTGCCGTTGCTGTTGCAAGTCCTTCCGGGAATAGCCAAGGTAACTGTGTCGTCTGTGTTGTCCATGGGGGAATGGATACGGAAGGGCTGATATTTGATGATTGTTTGGTTCTGAGGTTGGATAACTTGTAATTATGATTAGAGATTTTTGAGGACAAATTATCTGGTTAAACTTTTCTGACGGGTTTCCAAATTGAACTGAACACGTGACCTTATTCTACAAAGGATTGGTCCGCCTTGCCTCCAAGAGAGCATTGTTTACTGTTTACCACAATAATTCTCTCATGTGCCGGTACTGGAGATCTGGTCTTGTGTCATATACCTGTGCAAGAACGGGCGAAGCCCTGAAAGTCGACAGAATAATGTTAGCAGTTCTGTACGATGCCAGTCCTTCCTTCCAGTTGTCACATTGGCCTATGCATCAAATACGCGGTGCGTTTTGATGGGTACATGGTGCGTGGTGGGTACAAGTTTAAACATTGACTTCCTGCAAAAGTTTCTGGCCACAGTGAGGTTTGTGGTCGGTATGAGATATTTAGGTTGTGCTCAGACTGAAGCTTGCTTAAAGAAGATGCAGTATCAATGTGTGACCCTTGGAAAGGTCAATGTGACCTTAATGCATTGATTGAGATGTAACTTCACTTTCAAGATGGGATGCCAGACGGAGATAATGACTGGACTACAATAAGATTTTCTTTGTTGGATATTTTGATTTCTAGAAGCAGTTGTGGAATAAATTCTCGAATATTGTATTATTTGAGCCTGTCTGTTGATTTCAGTTTATGTTTCCATAATAATAAAAATCATAGGCCTGTTGAATATCACGACAATTATTGAAATCATGATTTTTTTTCTCATCAAATATCAAATCGGGCCTTAATCCCTTAATTCTTTATTCTTAGTCCTAAAATCTAGCCTTTTTATTTCCACCGCTATGCGAGTGGAAGATTAACTGAATGACATTCGTCCAGCAGTTTTCCGGGAGTTCGACAAGAACGTACATGAACGTGCAGTCCAGGGTACCAAGTCGCTGATCAGCACCATAAGTGCACTCTTAAGGGAACCATTGACCCAGGATCCAAGCTGTATCAATACCCGTACTGATGTGCTACTGAAAGCTTAATCACAGTGTTCCTGTATTTTTCAGTATCCAGAACTGTCATAGTTATCACTCAAATCGCTCTTTTATCATTAACGAAAACATTGTAAGCAGTTTGACGAACATTATTTCCAAAAATTCAAACAATAAACTTGAAACAAAGTAACAATGACACGAAATTTGGGAAAAGATGACTTTTGGCACATACAGTCATAATCAAATACATGTAAAATACTGGATATGGTGAAGTTCATCCGGTTCCGCATTACCACCTGGAAAGAGAAAGCCGCCCGGAGCCACAGTGGTCTGTATGTTTCCAATGATGCAAATTTCCAAAGATCTACAGAAAAAATGTCTTTTCCTGAATTCCACTGAAATAAGGCAATTCTTGGCTCATTTTACATCTCTTGGATTGCCCGGTAGACGGCTCCTTTTAATGTACCACATGATAGTTATCTGTTGCTGCTCCTAGCTTGTACCGCCCATTCGTTTTAGACACCCAGTTGCATTTGAGATTCTCATGGGCACATATGAGGAGCATGCACATGGACGTGCATTGGTAATTTGCCCGGTAGACGGCTCCTTTTAATGTACCACATGATAGTTATCTGTTGCTGCTCCTAGCTTGTACCGCCCATTCGTTTTAGACACCCAGTTGCATTTGAGATTCTCATGGGCACATATGAGGAGCATGCACATGGACGTGCATTGGTAATTTACTTGGTGACCAGCGATGGAGGATGGTGCAAGGCGCAATACTGTAATTTTGTTGTTTTTATTTTCTTGTGTGAAAGATACTTCAAAGTTTACAATGATTAACCGTTTTCACTATTAAAAATGTTCAATGTAGTTTTCTTTTGGGTCCAGGGTATTAGAAAATAAATGGGAAATGAATTCCATTTGGGTTCGTCCAATGAAAAGGAACGTTTAGGCCAGTGCATACATCAGGGATTGGCGTCGTTGGGGATCGAACCGTGTGATTGGACTTTGTTTTACGCAAACCTTGTGAGGCAGCAATTGCATACGTGAAACACACACAAAAAAAGAAGACATCATCACGATAATATTGAATATCGCGATATGTTTTCACGATATATCGGTTTCCAAAAAAAATGGATATCAAACAGGCCTAATAAACCATTATTTGTAGCGATCTCCAAACTTAGAAATAAAGAAAATATGACTTCATTTCATAGTTGAATGCTCTTTCATCAAAGTAGCAACATATTGGATTATGCTTCATGTTTTTAAAATAACTTCAGCTCCACCCCATCCTCTAAAACACTTGCTTCCAAGTCAGTGCCTTATGAAAGATGAAGTAGGCCTGTAATTACTCTTTGCTCTGGACTTCTATAGTTTGCACTTAACAGCGCCCTCGGTCAACCGGCAGCATGCAACCTCATCCCTTGGTTAACTCTGACTCTGATGTCAAGATTAATTTTTCACTGGCAAATGCATAGACTTTAGTCAGTAGGGTTTGCTCAGTCAGCCCCACCACTCCAATCTTTTTCCTGGCCTTGCTGGCCAAATGTCAAAAGAAAGAAACAAAGGAAAAAAACGATGCAACTTGGTACGAATTAAAGCCTTTAGTCATGGCAGGGGGAAAAAAAAATGATGCTTTCAGTGGGATCCACCTGTTTGCATGGTCCAGCATGCTCCTGGAGGTATTAGCATCAGAATTTGAACATACTCAGCACGTTCAGGCCAGTTCCTGTGGGGAACGAACAACAGGATCTTGCGAAGACGTGACATGGCAGACCGAGCGTCACCATTGCTCATGAAATCAACATCCTGTGGGCTTTTCTTCTCCAAGGGAAGTTGGAGCTGGGCTGGCCTGATTGAAATGCCCTTGTCCTGTCTTTCCTTTCAGCAAAGGGAGAAGCTACGAGAGTGTAAGACAAAGATGTTGAAAAGGGGCCCCTCATTAAAGTGATTCACTGCACATAACAACAAGGAATCATCAAAGAAGAGAAAACTTAGTCCAGGAAAATCTGGAAAAATGCAGGACTTTTTTGTGTACAAATCTATGTAACATTGAGGCTTTTTCCTGAGATGACATCACAGTTTTGCTCATGAATATGGAAATGCTCATTAGCATATAACCAAAAAGGCATTAAAATACCCTTTGAAATAGTGAAACCAAAGTTGAAAATAAGGTTAACTGAGACTCAAAGGTGCATTTTACAGTTGTGTTATCAAAACCGTTGATCGCAGCTACCCTTTAAAACAATCTTGCAGAGTCTTTACATTACACTAGGAATCCTCAACTTTTGTTTACTGTGAAATGTTCACAATCAGCAGGACACCAGTATCAAAGTAAATAATGCATCGAAATGATGAGCTTCCTTTACTCTTTATAATGCAGTCAGACTCTTTAACTGGAAAACTTGGTCACATTAAGTTAGAAGTTCAGAAAAATAAATATTGCACATGTACATGGTTACTTTGTGATTCTGTTGAGTGTGAGTTCAGAAAGTACTCTACTCTTAAAGTAGGAAGACCTCTTTAATCCAAGACAGCTCGCAGAAGGCTTGACAAAAAAACAGGTTTAACTTACTGAAAATTATCCATATTCTTTGATGCAACTGTTTACTTCCAGTAACTCAAGAATGGCGCATAGGTATGCAGTATTGACCTCTCTTAGAGGACCTTCCTTGGCCAACTAGCAGTCTGAATTGCCTTGTCGTGTTTGTTTAGGAAATTGATATTTTCTCAGGACCTCACTGATCAGACTAAACACAATCATTGAATTCATGTCCCAAGCCAGTGTCTACACACATGCACCAAAGACTTGGCTGCAGTCCATTTGAATGATCGGTATCGCTCCCATAAATTATGAAAAAAGTGACATTTAATTCCTAGGTACTCGTAGTTAGGGGGATTATATCATATATACCACTAAAGGCCATCATTAATACGTCATTGGTCCATCAGTGGTCATATTCTTAAATTATTAGCATTAGCATTCAAAAATCACATATCATTCTGTAGCTTGAAATTGATGGGATCTAAAGATGCCAACTACATGGGCTAGTGCAGTTCCTTAGAAATCCAGGATGTGTCAACACAACAAAAAACCACACACACACACATGTAAGGTAGCTGGCACATTGCTGTTGTTTTCAGGGAATTAGCCTGCAAGTGGTACTTGTTGGTTATGCTAAACAGCTGCGCATTAAAATGGACTTGAGGGATTATTTTTGCACATTGTTGCTTTGCAGTATTTGTTTGCGTAAAAGAGCCTTTTGTTTTAACACTGATTAATTTCAGTGTATGAAAAATTTTGGTGACAAACAGAATTCATTCTTGATTAATTTAAAATAGTAGTCATTCTCACATTGTATCTGATATATATTCCAAATAATTTGATTATCACTTGAAATTGCCATCAACAGGTCATTTTTGTTCTTTGTATTTCTTGTTTGATTCTGTTCTCTTCTGTGCATCTATTCAAAATAATTCATGGTTGAGTTTGAAAATGGTATTTAGTCATATTTAATAGTCTCCACTAATTACTCCAGAGAAAGCCCTACATATTTTTAGATATCCACCACTGCCTGAAAATGGTTTAACAGTAAACCTGTAAACCTCTTGCGATGTTTGAATGACATGAAGCTTTAAAAAATTCTGCATCTTGTTGAATTCAATATTAATCTGAAAGAATTTACTCTAAACATATTATATTGTACTTGATTTTTTGTGTATTGTTACTGAACAAATTCCTAAAAAATAAATTTCAGTTTCCTAATTAAACAAATGTTATTTTGTGTCTTTATGCCTACACCCTTTTATAAAATTGTAGGAAAAAATTTTTGTACGGCTCGATAACTGTATTGTCGGAGCTTCTCAATCTTTAGCAAAACAATTTTCTGATACTATAGTATGTCCCCATCCATACCCTCGGCCATCCCACTCCAAGCGATAAAATGTAATCTGTCCACTTTTTTGGGTGAATATAACCATTTGGACATGTACTTGTTTTTTGCGCTGGATTTCTTGAACCCGCGTGCGCTTCAATTGTTTGCCCTGAAGTGTTTTCATTTCAGTAATGCTGCACTACTTTATCGCCCATGTTCCTTCATCCCTACTAGATGGTAATTGATCAGGCAGTGGGAGGTCTTACAGTTATGTGAGCACGTGCAAACACACTCCATGGAGGAAAAAAAAACAACTCATTGCTCTGAAAGAACGACAGAGAATTTTGATTGAGTATCTTTGCTGTGTGTTTTGTAGGATGGTAGGTTTTGTGGGCTTACAAGATGGCCGTACGCCTACTTGTGTGAGAGAGCTGTGTGTGGTCACGATGCCATTGATGAAACCTAAAGGAACTGAGAATCAATGTCACTTTTTTTTTTTAATGATAATGAAGAAAACCTGCCAATGGGGTTGTGGTCTACAGCTATGACTACGTGTAGGCTGGATGGTGTGCTTACATCCTTCTCTGTCACAGTACAGTATGCCTGGAAGGATATTGCAGCCATTATTCCTAGTGGTTGTTACTGACAGGCAAAGTATCTAGACCAATTATGGCTGAAAGAAGAAAAGATCAGATTCATAGCTGTGGGGGGAAGTTGCTGTGGGCGTTTGAAAACAATCCATCGTTTGTGCAACGAATTTGTGATGAGCAGTGTGTATGCAACATGTTTTCCATCACCATGGTTACCTCTTCAATGCTGCATTACTAAAATTGTGCTTCTGTAGGCTTTGTGTATGATACATCACAGTCAAAGTGATAAAAGCTCTCAAAGATGGCAAAAAGTTTTCTGTACAATTATGTCCTGACCTTTCTGCAAAGTTTTTACAAAGTTTCGCTTTTGTCAAAATGCAAAAGCCTAACAGTCCTAAATCCTCCAATTTCAATGTGATTTTGTGACTGTTTCAACGTGACTACTTACTACATATTTGGAAAATTTGTGATGTCACCTAATTATTGTACAATGTACCCATCAGACAGATGGATTCAGCCATGGCTAAGTCAGGCTTGTCTCATTCCTGTATATCTAATGTTCTGTATAGTCCTTGTCCTTGTCAATCCGAGGTCGGGGCACAAAAGCTTTTAGCGTCACCTACGTACCTCAATGTTGCCCTCTGTTTTTGTGTTCACTAAGTGTCAATATTATTTGTCCTTCATCATAATTTAATTGTATTACCTGTGGCTCCTTCAAGGGCAATGTTGAAATAAATGTTGTTGAACCTTAAATGTTGAAACTGGTAAAATTAAGAAAGTATGAGATGCTATTAAATAGCTGGATCAAACCATACCTAGAGTCAGTATATGATTCTGTTTCTCACATGGTCATAAGAATAGGCTAAGGGATTGACAAATTATTTGTGTGATGAACCTTAGTTTACAAATACTGTAGACCTTGGCTTACTGCAGAATACATGTACTCCATTATGGCAAGCCCATTAAAAGGAAAAGGGCAATCCAAAATTATTGTGTGTGGGGGGGGATTTGCATCTATTGTCGTCTATCTTCACGGTAATTTAAATACCTGAGGCAGTTGTCTATAGCAATGACCATTTTAATAATTGTATAAAGCTAGAATCGGTCATTATTTTTATTGCTTGAGCAGTAAACTCAGGCATCAGTCACTACCTGGTGGCACTTATTTGCCTCTGATGGTGTCAGTGAATGCAAATTGCTGACAAAAGTAATGATTCGCTTTTTAGATCAATCATCTGCCATAGTAACCTTTTCAGTTCATTTCACACATTTTACTTGAGCCATTTTATTTCACATTACTGAGAATGAACGATGCAGACCTTCAACAAGTGTCTCCTTGTGTTTTGGCTTTGGCAGAGCATTTTTCAGTGCCAGTTGTGAAGGACTTGAGAGTAAATGTACGAAAGACTGGAGCTGTAACTTCCAGATGGAGGCACAGAGTTTGCAGTGAACAACAGTTTAGACTTGAAGCCCTTGTTAATTGCTTCTAACGAGGCAACATTTGTCCTTTGGGTTTTCTCTATGCATGCAGAGTTCAAACCCTTGACTTTACTCTAAAGTAAACTCATGGTAGTATAGATGGCAGCGTTGTTAAAACTGACTCATTTTGTCCCCCTAATTGGGCTGATTCTTCGTGTGAATGCAGTCTGTCCCCCAAACTGGCTTGAGCATGGGCAATCTTGCTACCTCTTCACTTACAACCGTGCATCATGGCAAGATGCTAAAACATATTGCGAAGGGCAGCATGGAAACCTCCTGGTGATTGAGTCGGAAGAAGAGAATGCATTTCTGGAAGAGGAAATGCAGTCTTGGCAGATGACTCACATTTGGCTTGGATGCAATGACATCAACGTGGAAGGGAAATGGATTTGTTACAGGGGATCCGTTAACGGCCAGGAGATGCAGTTTGAAAGGTGGGGTTCCGGCGAGCCAAACGAGTTGGCTCTCGGCATCAACCAGGACTGTGCTGTGCTTTATTTCAATGGACGGTGGGTTGATGAGGCTTGTGCCACAGGCCAGAAGGCCACAGTGTGTGAGACCAGCAATGCAGCCAAGTCCCAACACATTCTGCCACTGACTGTGTCACATGCCATGCCAATGACATGCTACACAATGGGCACTGATGGCCGCTTGTCCGAAGAGTAATTTAAAATCTTCACCTCACCCTCGAGTTTAACATTTCAATCAGTTTAAAAGGAACTGATTCGTCCAATTCAACTTTAACATTTGGTCTGTATGAGACATTCAACCTTGAGGAGGATAATTATAAGTTCAGTGGCAACATGGAGTCGTGCTATACACACAGGTTCTTGAATGTTATAGCCAACAATCAAAGACAACATGAAAATCCCATATCTGATGTTATCTGCTGTTGGCAAGAAATTCTCATTCCCCTCCAGCGAGCTAGAATATCCTCAGTCCTTACAAAAGGTTTAAGATTATACCCAGGCCCAATGAGGAGGGCTTTACCTTTTTGACCGACTTACAGACTTAAGGTTCCCAAACGTGTCTTCAGTGATCCAGCTGTGCCTCGTTAGATCACTGTTCATCATCACCAATAGCTCCTCGAGGTCTGCCATGCTGGTGTTGAAACGAAATGGTGTAGTGATTTCCTAGACTGCAGTGAGGCTTGGCACTAGTCTGCAGAACGGTAATGCAAGAAGCTTAGTAAAACAGATATGCAGTTTTCATGTGCGTAATTTCTGCATTGTTCGTTTGAGTAACTTTTGACTTATAAAATATGGATAATATTCATGTAAGGCCCTGTTATGACCCTGTTGTGGTGTTTGAGCATTTTTCACATGCACAAGATCCTGCTCAGAACCGACTACATTTCTCCAAATATATTCTGTGCGATGTAGAAAATTGCTGTGGTGCAATTACACACACTAGCCACATATGTTATTACATAGTGGTCAATCAAAAGGCCATAAAGAGCTTCATTTAAAAAAAAAAAATTGATGCTTGACATCACATTTATGATATGTCTTTTGGGTTTAATTGATCAGATTTGTAGACGAGAATAATTTTGACTTGCTGTGATTTAATCTACTATTTTATCACCTGCATGTAGTGTATATTGCTGTGGTGAAATTTGTAATCCTGTGAGTGTGATGGCTGCTGTTCATCACCTCTATTGGAAACCAATCACTAAGCTCCAATCTGGTAAAGTTCTTTGCATTGAAAAACCTTGTTTGTAAGTGATAAAACCGAATACGTTTTTGACAAGGTCCTCATGACTCATTAACACAAGATGGTTACCATGAGAGAATGATTATGACTGGAACACATCAACCTGTGATGTAATCATTACAATTATGAAATGCGCATTTACTAGAATTGTACATTGTATGAAATAAAAGTACAAGCACCTGCACTCTTTCTGTAGTTGTAAGATGTCAGTTCTGATCTCAAGTTTCACTTGCTGTGCTGAGTTAATTGTTTCGCAGGTCATAAGGTTTAGCCTTCCTGTCCCTGTGGTGGTCGGTCTGCTGGAACGAAGCGACTGATCTTGTCAAAGGACTGCAGAAACATCTATCACTTTTTTCAAATTTTTGATATCAGTTTGTTTATAGCCAGTGATCCCGGTGAGATATTTCTGAAAATGAAAGGCACCCCCCTCTGCATTATCTAAGTTCTGGCACTCATGAAGGCAGTGGTGGGAGACAGTTGTGACCATAAAATTGATTTACTGGTAGTAATTAGTGTTGAAAGGCAAATTATGGTTTTGGCCAGTCAAACAATGAAAGGCCTTTATAGGCATTGTATGGAAATGAAATGAAATCCTGCCCAATCTAGTCCAGTCCAATTCAATCCAATCCAGTTGAATGAATGAAAAATAAAATAAATAGACAATTTTTTGAAGTGCACAAACAAATTAACTACCTCCTTGTACATTCAGAATTCCCTTCAAACTCGGAAGTCAGTTTAATCAACCTAGATACTGTTTTGTCATCTTAACTGCCATTACTGCCATGGGAATTGTAGAAAGATGGAATTGGCTTTTTTCCCCCTCTTTTTCTGCTAGGGGTAATTAATTATTCATAAACTAATACTGTTCAGAATGAATCATTCATGGTTCCTACACCAATGTGATTGCCAGCCTCATTTTAATCACACCCTGGGAATGATATGAGTAATAAACAATATCGTGGACAGACCACTTTCAATATCGCCCACTCTGCCCTCTCTCATGAACCAGGCCAGTCAGGCCCCTCTCTACCCTGTGAATGTCTCATTCAGACATGTATCTGGGTCTGTGCATAATGCAACCTGTGAGCTGATATGAATCCAGGGGACCGGCTTTTTGCATCAAGTAGGCATCCGTGCACACCGTATCCTCTAGTGGTTGAGGCCCAGTAATAAGCTTGGGAAGTACGTTTGTAAGGGATCACAGTGTGGGAGAAAATGTCTATCCATACAAGGCTTCAAAATTGTATGTAAATTGCATTAAATGTGATGAGACTTTTTCAGTTGATAATCCCCTGGGGTTTAATATTTTGAAAAATGGTGACTACATTTTCAACTGAGAGTAACATATGCTGCCTGCCTTGTTAGGGTACACAGTATGGTATGTTGTTGTGATGCCCGGCATTCATAGCTAAAGTTCAATTGATTTGGGTCTTTACATTATGAATTCCCTGGCAATTACATGCATAACAGTTACAGTACTTTAGCTTGAGTTGAAGATTAATTGCATTCCATCGTTACCTAGCCTTGGCTCATTTACATCTTTGTACTATCGTATAAAAATTCATATATGGTAGTTCATTTGACAAGTTTACACTGTTTTTTTACATGCATGTCAATTGCATCATGGGCTCTTCTTAGTGCAGGTTTTTACTCTTTCATGGATTCTTCATCAAAGGAACTGTTAAGACCAAGTTTTCATTCCCCAAATTGTAGGATGCTGAAATGATTTGTTGAAATAGTTTAAAAACTTGAAACGTTTTTTTCTTTACTGGGGGAGGAAAGGGGAAATAAATCTAATTCATAATTAACGAGTGTGGGTTTTTTATTTTATAAATTCATTTTTTTAATATGGGGGGACTTGTGAAGATTTCAAGTACACTAGCACCCAGAGTGTTCATGGTTTCCATCTCAGTAACTTCTTATTAGATTTACCCAGCTGGTGCCCCACCATTTCTGTCATCAGAACACTTTAACTGCACTCTGTTGCTAGGGGACATGTATGAGGGAAACTGGTGTGTCTTGATCAGTACATGTATCACTGATCCCTGATATGCCTGCCCAGCTTTGTGCAGAAACAGTCTTAGTTTGGGAGACCAGAATTAATGTTTCATTTTTCTTTTTTTTCTAAATTGGTGATATTCCTTTGTCGTGGCCAAGTTGCTTTATGTACTCTTTCCTGCTCTGACAAGCCCTGGGTTTGGAGAGGGAGTGAAATTGTGCTTCTCTATGGTACTTTCTTAAAATTCTTAAAAATTGTTTGGGAATCTAGCATCCAAATAGGTCTAAATGAACTGTCATTTAAACAAAATTGATTGAAGGAAAAATTTGACCAGGAGTGTTGTCGGAGTTGTGTGTACATATCCTCATTTTGCAACTAAAGGAAATGTTTGGCCCGTTTCCATGACAACATGGATGGCGTAGCAACTGACCACATGCTTCATATATTGCTGTCATTTCCTTGAAAAGTTTCAACTTACATGTACAAGGAACCAAAAAAATAAATCAAAATGAGCCTGCGTGTGTTTTTGTGTATGGCATTGCATATTTGTAATGAGGGCACTTGCAAAAAAATATCCGAAATTCACACTTATCTCTGTTAACTTTTCCGGATTCGTGAAAAAGCCTGAGGATATTGTCATGTGATACAGTCTGATTGTCATATTATCAATTTCATACATGGTGACAGATGTGTCAGTGCCAGTATGGTTTCAAGTCAGCCAAGGGCTCAGAGTGTTTGCGTCCCTGGGTATAACACATTACCGCGATCACTTTGCTCTAGCAATTACGGAGTTAGCACATTGACTGCCAACAAATACGCACAGCTTGGGCACCTTCTTTGCCAAATAAAGTAAACGCTTCACCCATAGAAATAACATATCCGGGCTTTAGTTTTGAAATGACAACTTTGGAAACTGCTGCTTTATTTCCCATGACATTTTATTTGCTATAAGTTTGTATAACTAGGTCTCAAATCATGCTGTTTGTTCCAATACATGTTAATCCCTCCTTAGCATATTTGAGAGCTATGGATACTTTGTGGATACTGTCAATTACCCATGTGGCACCTTTGGCCTAAAAATAATGATACCTTGGTATGTGATTTTGATTTGAGAAGCAGAAGAGGCCACTAAATGGGGTCAACAAGTCTGTTAAATGCAGGGAGGATGGAGGGGCGTTCGGTGATGTCATCTATTGAAATGAAGTGTTGTTCTCGTTTGGATTTCCCCTGGCGGAGTTGAACAACACACCGTGGAGGACACCGGACACTATTACCTTTCCCTCTCCAACACAAGCAGCACCATCAGAATGCCAATGCGTAACACTCCCTCCCTGAGCCACGCATGTATATCTGGGCCAGCGCTAACTGTAGGATTAATGATAATGCCAGCTCTCCATCCTGCACCTCTTACTTTGAGGTGATGGAAGGGCAGCTCATTCTGTGTCATGTCAGAGGTTCCCTCTGATCTCTTTCTAATGTACTGGGGTCTAACTGGATTAAGAGACACTGCACTACAGTCAGGGGTGATGGACTACCGGCATCTTTCTAACTCCAAATGATATACAGTGTTGTAATCTTGCCAAAAGCCAGCCCTGATGCTGAGGTGATAAACTGGCATTCCTGTCTGGTGATATTAAATATAGACTGCAATTCATAATGAGTGTGTTGTATTTTTTGTTTTAATCTTTTTTGTTTTAATTCAACTGTTTTGCTTGAGTTCCTAGTCTGCTGCGATATCAAGTCTACTTAAAAAAATCCTCTAAAACCATACCATTGCCCTATTATTTGTTTATTACCAAAGTCACATTTTTAGCTACCGTAAATGTATGTGTACCAAGGACATCACATCATTTGGAAACAAGGGCATTTTTTAAAGCTTTGTGCGATTCCCAGCTTTAAATTTGTCCCTTTTGCTCCCTAACCCTATCTTTGCTCTGTATGGCTAGACCATTAT